TTTATGAGCTTATCATACTCTTCTGTTTCTTCTATTGTCATCCATTCAATATTTAGCTGCAAATGTGCTTAGCAATAAGCAGTTTTCTAACATTCCACGTTCGTGATTGATATAAAAGCCTGGCCTTTTTCTGGTTCAAAGATTCATCCCTTTTAATATTATACTGAGGGATTGGAGGCATTTTAGAGTCATCTACTTCCAATGATTCAAATTCTGGTGTCTTTGTTGCACATAACATTCGAAAAACAATGGGGACATTTTGAAAAAATATGCTTGTTCTACAATTTCTCGCAGCTATCATGGACATTGCTAATACTTCAAAAAATTAGTTTTCAACTAAAATAGAATAATATAAGTAACAAAAATGTTGGTCTTTCATTTAATAAAGAACTCATAAAATAATGTCTCTCAGATAACTTTATTGAACATCTAAAAATCTTTAAAGAGAATGATATGTAGTGCAATATATTTTTCGAAATCGTATATATATATATATATATATATATATATATATATATATATATATATATTCTTTTTCGAACAACAATTTACGATTAGAACTTTTAGTGGTAAAATATTATCGAATAAAACTTATTATACTTCTGAATTTTAGAGTCCAATGTTTTTTATATATAATCATTTTCTAATTAATTTGTTTTACGAACCTGATCTACAAAAAGAAATATTGCACGGCCCAGAGATTTTGATTTTACATAACCTCGACTGACAAAACAAAACACTGACATAATGACAGGCTGACAGATGACAGTTGACAAACAGACATACTAAAATAGTTATACACAAATACATGCACATAGATAAGTACACATTTTGGTTATACACATAGATAAGGAAGAGTATAAACAAGTATAAACATATTAGTATAAAACATACAACATATTATACTTATTTATCTATGCATATTACTCTTCTTTTATCTAAGCATATTAGTATATTGTCTAGGAATGAAAAATCTGGATATGTGGTGTGTGTGTGTGCGGATACAAATTTTCGTCGACGATTTTGGGAAGACCGATCAACCGATTTAAATAATTGAAAAAACATTCCATTCGTATTGATAAAGAGACCTGCTGATTAGTTTTTGGCGAAGGCAGGTCTAGCCGTTCCGAAGATACGGGGCAAAAAGTGGCAGAAACGGTACTAGCTTTAATAGATAAAAGAAGAGGATAGAGATCGCTTTTAAAATAACGGAGCGTCCGATTTTAATAATTCAAAAAACATTTTACTTGTATTGTCAAGATGAACTGATGATTAAATTTTTGGGAAGGGCGGTCTAGCGGTTATGGACTCTCAATAAAATAAGTTAAAAAAATGCTATTTGGTGGTCACAAATATTCATTAAACAAATTAAAGTAAATTTTTTTGGGTTTCGTACCAAGATTTTTAATTTTGAAGTTCATTTATATGGTTCAAACAAATATCCTCGACATTTTCGATAGTATGGAATACCCGATTTGTATCATTGAAAAAACATTCGGTTCGTACGCAAGGCATTTTTGCAAAAGGTACATCTTATCCTTCCGGAGATATGGAGCGCAAAGGGTGTAAAAATGTTCATGCTGCTTTTGAAAGAACGGATCATCCGATTAGATTAATTCAAAAAACCTATTGCTTGTGTAGATGGTGTGCAAAAAATGGTTTTACAAAAAATTTCGTAGTTTTGAAAATTTTCAAAAAACTAACATTTTTGAAATTTTTCATAATCTGGAAATAAAATCTAAATTTCAAAAAATTTGAAAAATACCGAAATTTAAAAAAAAAGATTACTTACAAAATGTCTTTATAATAAATAATCTATTTGAAATTATTCAAAACAATTATTGATTATTTTTATTCCTCAAATTTTTAATTATGGTAGGGAAGTTTCAGCTAATTGCCTTAAGGCACAATGCCATGCGCCACTAGTTTTTTTTTCAAAACGATAATTTTATTCAATTGTCTGGAATGGGAAATAATCTCATCAACTGGCAAAAAATTATTCACTGTCAATTTCATTAATGTGGTGAACTTTAACTCACAATATCAATATATGCTCGATAATATATGAGAGTAATGTGGTCCCCTGAAATAGGCATAAATGAATAATATAACATATATTGTAGATCACATATTATACAAAAAAAAATCATTAAAGTTTGCGCATATTGTTTATTAATATGTATACTTAAAAAGGTACACAAATTGGTTATAAAAACAATTACTAAATATTCAAGTTATTGCAGTTACATTTGCACAGAAAACCATTTTCAGCCACAGATTTCACATCCTCAAATATATTAAATTTTTTTTGAAAATCATATTTCATTTTACTTTATTATATCTAGTTTCTCCCTTTTAAAATCATGCATATTCATTTTTGCTTTAAATATATTAATACAATTGTAATTTAATTTAAGTTTTAATTTATTAATCACAAAACCCTTATGGTACAAATTAAAATATTTAATCACATCAGTAACTTAATTATTAATGAAAGGAACTATCTAAAATATCTTTATAATAAATATGTTCATCACACTTGTTAAGTCAATATCCTTCTGCTTTACCGAGATAAACTTTTCCTTCACATATAAAATCTTATTCAATAATAGTTGATTATTTTTAACTAAATTTAGCTAAGTGCCAGCTTTACATTTCAAGTCAATATTCTCCTGCTTTAGAGAGATCAACTCTTCCTTCATTCTTAAAATCTCATTCATTAATAGTTCATTATTTTCGGCCAAAATACTATTTTCCTTCATTACCTTCTTTTCATTCTCTCTCAGTTCTCTTATAACTTGATTATCACTTGATACATAGATTCCTGCAAAAAATATTTGTAATGTAATTGTGATCATAAAATAAATGCTTAATTAGCATGATAGCTTACCGCACTGTCCCCTGAATTTATGTTTTAGTATGTCCATTTGTGCTTTCATGTGCTGGGAATCTTTTTTAGACTTTTCCTCTATTGAATTACAAGATATGCGTAATTTATCACAGTCCCGTCTAAATTAAAATTATAAAATAACTATCTAATTAACTGAATATTTATTTTTATTGGTAATGATTCAAAAACATGCTATTCGTTTTGTTTTATGAGAATTGAAATATTGCTCTAGTATCTGGAACATATATAAAATCATAATCTGTAGTGCTATAATCAATTCAATTCAAACTCTGTTAGCAAAAAACTTTGTGAATGAGATTGGACAGCTTTCACAATACTTACTTTAGTTTTGTTTTTTCCTTGTTATCACTTTCTAGTTTACTTTTTAATTTGTTACAATTCATTTGTAATGCTGATATTTCAGTATTGCTAATTTGCAGTTCCCTTTTAAATTTGTTGTTCAATTTCTAAAAAGCAGTAAGTGATAAGTAAGCTTTGCTTCATTATATATATATATATATATATATATATATATATATATATATATATTATTAGCGGTAATAAAACGGTGATGGAAATAATAAGCAAGGGAGGGGAAGAAAATTATTGTTTTTGTGATGCTCTCATACCATGGATCTTCCTTCCCATATATATATATATATAAATATATATATATATATATATATATAATATATATATATATATATAAATATAAATTTTATATATATAAAATATATAAAAAATATATATTATTTCACCACCTAAAGAAAAATCTCTCGCTTTATATATATATATATATATATATATATATATATATATATATATGTATGTATGTATATAAGCATGCATAATACCTGTAATACTTCATTTTGTTTCAATATTTCTTGATTGTCATTTTCAATTTTTTTTTTCTTAGACTCGAGATTACGATAAAGTGTTATCAATTCCCACATCACATTACACAACGAGACTGCTGGATTTTTTGAGCATTGTAATGACATAGAATTAATCCCGAATATGAGAAGTTCCTAAAAAAATTTTTATGTAATGCTACTTAATCATTTTTAATATAAAATTAAATACCTCATCCAGTGTAATTAGGTTTTCAGTCAAATTCTCTTCATCGCATTTCAAATTTTCCGATATAAATTGTGAATTGTTCTTCCTTTGTAATAAAGCATTTATTTCATCATTTACATCATCAATATCAATTTCTTTTTCATGCTTCGCCATAAATGAATAGAAATCCATTCTATAAATATACCAGGTTAATCAAAATAAAAGAAATTTATGCAATTTTTGGCTACTCTATTTAAAAAATAACAAATAATTATAAATTTACGGTTAGTACAATAATAATCCCTTTACACTCACTTTGTTGCAAGCAGTTCTGGTAATTTCTACAGTTTTAAAATTTCATAAGTTTACGTTCGGTCGGTACGAAAATAAATGTATTTTGGTATTTAAATAGAAGGGCGTACTCACTTAGCAGAAAACAAATCAACAAGTTGTCACCACCGTGTGACATACCTTTCTCTTATTGACGCGGTAGAGTTTGAGGGCGCAGCGGTCGCAGTCGTTCTGTTATAATTCATAAACTCATCATAATTAGATAATCAGATTATTTATTGTTCGAAATCGTATCGGATTGATTACTTGGCGTTGTTCTCATTAAATTATTATTTATTTGTTCATTAATTTGTTTTTGATAAACAAACTTTATCAGTGTATGCTTACTTATCTATGATGCTAGTATTCAACGAAAATTATAAATATAGTAAAACCACTTATTATCTATGAGTAAAACTACTCTTTTTTTATCTATGAGTAAAACCTCCTTATTAGCGGGGGGTATCAATAAATAATCCGCAAATACAGGATGGCATTTTACATGAAGTCATAGAGAAACTTTCCAAGGTGACTAAATAACCCGCAAATACAGGATGGCATTTTATATGAAATTGTAGGGGATATGTTTCAAGGTAACACAATAAAGAAAAATAAATATTGTTGACTATTATTCATTATGCAATATTTAAGTATAACAGATCCCACATTAAAATTAGTTAGTAATAACTTTAGTATCAAATCTAACATCAAAAAAATGTCAATTTATAAAGTTTTATATTAATGTTAGATGTGGTACTAAACTTATTACCAACTAACTTTAATATGAAATCTTTCAATCTTAAAATATTGCATATTCCCCAGCAATATATAAAACAAATATCGTTTTTATTATAGTTTTTGTACATTTTGATTAATTTTGTTGCGGCTAAGGCAATGATTTGAAGAACTTTGTAATTTTATTTTGCTTCTTTAATTCAAACTGATACTCAGTCACATCAATAATTTGTCCCTTAAAAATAACACTTGATCAATGCCCATATAGAAATCGCACAGTTTATTTTTAATTCTTTACTCAGATTTTTCAAATTGTTTTTCTTTAGTGGGCTCTGAATGTGGATTTCATGGATTAAATTAAATTTAATTTTTATTATTATTATATGATGAAAAGGAAGAAATCGTAATAGTAATCATAGATAAATGAAAATAAATATCAAGTGATACACACAATTATTTAAGTGTATATAATAATATTCAAGTAAGTAAAATAACATAGTTAAAAGAGGAGTATAATAGTAATTAAGTGAAAACATCACATGATCGCAATATAAAAGTGTCTTGTCCCTACTAGACAATATTAGAATATACTTGTTTATCTATGATTAGAATCTTTTAGATTTAGAATTAGAATACTCTTCTTTTATCTATGATTAGAATACCCCGTGTTCATCTTGTCTTGTCTATATAAATCGTTTCTGATGGCTACGCTTAACTTTTGACATATGTTTACTGGGCTCGTTTCTTTTTTTGCAGGTTATGGTAGTGATGGGTCGTTGACGTTTTTTCCGTCAACGAAACGAAACGGTTAACGGGTTCTCGTCAACTAGTTGAAAAACTAGTTAAATTTCAACTATAGTTGATTTTAACGATTCAACGCTGGCAACGTTAATAACTATGAGTTGAAAATACTGTTTCGTTGAAAGTTAATGAAGTTTGTTCCTTATCTATGTTCGTCCCAGTTAAATGTCAAATCATTTGATCAATAACAAGGTTTAGAAGTTGAACTGTGTATCCCATCATATTGTTTATTTTTAATTTTAAAGCAAAAGGATATAGTATACTGAAACAACGAATTTATAATTAAAATAGCAATGTTTCACATAATAAACAAATAATTTATATAACTCAATAATTTATTTTCAGGTTAGGTTTAAAAAATGACTTCAAGTAATTTCAAATTAAAAATGTTATGGATATAACGAAAAATATTAGTAACAAAACATTTGAAAGTTAGTATTCATCTATCTATTTATGACCTTGTTAACTAAGAAGATTTTTATATGACATGATATTCCATATAGCCTGAAAAATCAAATGAAGATTAACTTAAATAGAAGTTTTTATGAAATCTTATAAATTAAACAAATCATTTTTATAAGTACATTTTATTCAAATATTTACATATATTATACATTTTAACTATAATTATAAATTTCAAATAGATTATATAATTTGTTACATAACAAAACTAAAATTTTAACAATTTTAAATTTTATCAAATCGATTTTGATCTAAATTTACATTTAAATACATTAATTTTTCGACTTTTGTATTTTGTAGTCTCGATCTTCTATCCGTAATAACCATGCCTGCTTTTGAAAAGATCCTTTCACAAGGAACGGAGGTAGCTACAACATTGCATTGATTTTTAAACAATCTCGCCAAATTTGGATAAACATGCTGGTGATTTCTCCACCATTGCATTGGGCAATTTAATATACCTTCTGCAGATTTCATAGGCAAGCTATCATCAGCGAGATATATATCAATTTCCTTTATAGCAGCACATAGTGGAGTCGATTGATGCAGTGATGCTCCTACTAGGTTATTTAAAATAGTCCATGGGTTATACTCATCAATATCTTCCATGGACGTTGATGGCATGGGAACAACATTCTCTAAAAGTCTTCGTTCTTCAATGATTTTTGCTACTTTTTGCTTAAGATCTTCTTTAATAATTTTTGCATCTTCTATGTTTGAGAAACCCTTCATTTTGAACCTAGGATCTAATAATGTACAGATTCCAAATGTCTTGCTCCTCTCGACATTTGGAAATCTGTCATTAATTCCTGATTTAAAAATTTCAGTGATTCTTCTAATTACTGGCAACAGGTCATTTCGTGCCAATAATTTGTTGCATGACTCATTCAAACATCTTACTAACACTATTACCAGGCTTCCTGTCAGGTAATTTTCACCACTTACAGTGGTGGTAATATCTTCGAATGGTTTTAAAATTAAGCATAGTTGTGGCAACATTTTCCACATTTCAGGAGTCAATGATGGTAGATTTGCATCTAAAACACTCATTGTCATCCTTATTGACTCTTCAACCTCGACAAATCGTTTCACCATGTAAAAGGTGGAGTTCCACCTTGTTTCGACATCTTGAATCAATTTTTTTGTGTGTCCATATTGCTGCATTTGGTATTTCTGCAGTTTTTCACATGCAGTGACACTCCTCCGGAAGTGGCCAACAATTTTCTTTATTATATCGATCTCACTCTTAATCAACTTGAGGCCATCATTTACTATTAAATTAATAGTGTGCGCAAAACATCCATAATGTTTTATTTTTAAAATGTCTTTAATGGCTTTTTTCATGTTATTGGCATTATCACTAATGGCAAAATTTACCTTCTGAAGCAATTTCCAATTGTCAAGGATTGTTTGAATTTCTATTGCTAGATTTTCTGATGTATGCGCTCCTTCAAATTGACAGCATCCGAGAAGAACAGTTTTTAAGTTATAATTGTCTGTAATATAATGGCCTGTAACTGCCACATATGCTTCAGTAACCCTAGAAGTCCAAACATCTAACGTTATGCAAATAGTTTGTGCTTCAGCTAAAACTTCTGCTCTTGTATTTTCAACTGCCTTGTTGTATTGCTCCTCGAGCATGGATCCTGAAACAGTCTTTCTAGATGGAAGAACATATCCTGGTATCCACCGCATCAACTTTTTAAACGCTCTTTCTTCAACTAATGAAAATGCATGGAAACTATCAATGAACATATCCATCAAATCTTGGTCAATCATTTTTTTTTGTTCGCTGCTAATTTTTTTAGTCATAAAAGTCTCCAATACCCTCTGACGCACACTTGTAGGTTGTTGTTGAGCACTACTAGAACTTGGTATAGCCTCTCCGGAATTACTCATATACTGTGAAATACGAGTCTGCTGTGAACTTCCTGCCTCAGTTTCTTGCAACGAAGCATATATGGAAATATGCTTTCTTTTTAAATGACTCTTTAAATTGGCGGTTGTTGAACTATACTTTATCTGCTGGTTGCACACATTACACTTTGCTTTCATACTATCAATTTTTTCAAAATGGTACCACAATACACTAGTATTTCTACGAGATGCCATTTTTTTAAAAAAGAATTTGAAAAAAAAACAATATTTCTTAAAATTTAAACTTATTGTAAAACTAATCGATAATATAAAATATATAAAATTATTAAACTATGTTATTTACTAAATTTAAAACTAATTAAAATATATTTGATAAAATCTAAAATAAATTATTATTAAAAAACTATTTTAAATACTAATGATATAATGATAGATAATGGTATAACAATTTTATTTAAAAAGCACAAAATTTTAACTAAAATTTTTACTGAATAACGTATCTTTCAATTTTAAAAAATTGGCAAGCGCGTAATTAAGATAAAAGTAATCGGGATGAGTTCTGAACTTATACTAAATAAAAATTATTAAAAATCAAAATTAACAATATTAGCCCCGCCCGTAAGGGGCGGGTTACATTAATTTATACATCTGAGGGGGATGATTTCTTGGACTTATTTCAAAGCATGCTGCAGACCAGGCATCGGCAACCCATGGCACGCGTGCCAGGCTATGGCGCCGTAACAAAATGTTCGAGGAATATTAAATGTTTTCAAATAGATTATTATAAATACTGTAACATTGTCTAATATTTATAAGAATTATATGAACTGAATCACGTAGTCAATTCATTTAAAGTATATAAGTGAGCTTTAAAACTCTAGCTAGAATTGAAATTGAAATCTGAATTATTTTCTATATACAATTTTTCAAAATCAATTATTTTGTTAGGATAAGCAGGAAGTTCTTTGAATCATTTGAATCGGACGCTTAGTTCTCTCAAAAAACTGCCATTTTTATACATTTAGCTCCGTATCTTCGAAATGACTTGGCCTGCCTTTACCAAAAACTAATAAACACTTCTCCCAATCATTATTAACTGAATGTTTTTTAGATAATTAAAATCGGATGCTCCGTTTTCTCAAAAACTCGATTTTTATTTTCTGCACTCTTTGCTCTTTATCTTCGTAACTGCTGGACCTGCCTTTGCCAAAAACTAATCAACTCATCTCCCTATCAATAGAAATCGAATATTTTTTGAACGATTCAAATCGGTTGATTCGTGTGCCCGAAAACGTGACTGGAAATTTGTATCCATACATACATACACACACACATCCATTTTTTCTGAGGTATGCCAAAATGTTCAGAAACCTTCAAAACGTCGAGAAATGTAAAAATTTTCAATTTCGATTTTCGGCACATTACAATAACTTACCCTACGGGAATTAATTTTTATTTAAATATGTTATGTTACTATAATGTATTTTGCACATGAGTTTGAGGTGCGAAATAAATGCAGATGACGACCAAGTAATCCCGGCGATCTGCATAATTTAGCATTGAAGGTTTTCTTTAAAAAAATGTGTTTAGGAAATATTCAATTAATATTTCAAACAAACAGTTTTATTACAATCATCCTGAAAAGTTTTATTATATTTTACCTAACAATAAGCGATTATAATTCTAGTAATTGTCAATGGCGCCAGGTATAGGATTTTCCAAGTAATCCCGGCGATCTGCATAATTTAGCATTGAAGGTTTTCTTTAAAAAATATGTTTAAGATATATTCAATTGATATTTTAAACAAACAGTTTTATTACAATCATCCTGAAAAGTTTTATTATATTTTACCTAACAATAAGCGATTATAATACTATAGTAATTGTCAATGGCGCCGGATATAGGATTTTCCAAGTAATCCCGGCGATCTGCATAATTTAGCATTGAAGGTTTTCTTTAAAAAAAAATATGTTTAGGATATATTCAATTGATATTTCAAACAAACAGTTTTATTACAATCATCCTGAAAAGTTTATTTTATTTTACCTAACAATAATAAGCGATTATAATACTATAATTGTCAACGGCGCCAGATATAGGATTTTTCAAGTAATCCCGGCGATCTGCATAATTTAGCATTGAAGGCTTTCTTTAAAAAAAATATGTTTAGGAAATATTCAATTGATATTTCAAACAAACAGTTTTATTATAGTTATCCTAAACACCATTCCAAAATGTTTATCGATAGATTGTTTATTTTATTAATTTTATTAATTTCAATATAAGTAATATTTATCATGTCATGTTTTAATTATTGAAGGTAATTTCGAATCAATATAAAGCTAGCTGATAGTTAAATAAATAAATATTTATTACTATAAATAATTTTATATATGAAATGAATTATTAACATAAATCTCAACCTACAAAAGATAAGTTCATAAAAAAATACTAGAATGATTTTCAAATTTATTTTCAATTTCTTTACTGTAGATTTCGAGGCCAAAACTGCAAAACTGAGATCATTACCAAAAAACTGTAGATCTACAGTTAAAACTTTAGACATGACAACACTGTATAAGAGTTATATTCCTAGATAAAGAGTTGGTTGTTGATATCATACATTCGAACCTAATAATTATAAGTTTAAGAAAGAACCCCTAGAGTACTCTATTGCTTTTCAATTGTAATATTCGACAACGAACGAATATGCATTTCGTTGAAAAGTAACTGGGCGCCATGTTTTTAACTCATTGACAAACCAGTTGATTTTTCAACTAGTTGTTTCGTTGCGTCGAAACGGTTGATTCGTTAACGAAGGAGAAACGGTTGAAAAAAACCGTTCGTTGATTCAACGCCCATCACTAGGTTATGGATTTTGTTTTGAAATAATTTTACTTAAGTACGGATTGTAGGACGGATTGTACTAAAGTATTTCGACGTATTTTAAAATGACTAGCGAAGTAGATTTGGGTATTTTACTAGAATGCGAATCTTGGTTTTTAACCAGTAGATTTTTTCCAAGCAAAGTTGGAGGTAAACCAGCTTGGTTGTCTTTAAAAGATTTGCCTGACTCGGAAAGTTTACAATGTGATTCATGTAAAGAACCAACTATTCTTCTTTGCCAAGTAATGATTACAATAAATTATTATACGTATGCAGAATATGTAATTATAAATAATATTATTTATTATTAAAAAGGTGTATGCACCAATAGATGATCAACCAGAATGTTTTCATAGGACTATATTTGTATTTATTTGCACCAATGGGCTTTGTTGCAAAGTGAATGATGTTGGGTTTGTATATATTTTAACCAGATTAAACTTAAGTTTATAAGTTTAACTTAAGTTATATGTATGCATGTGCAACATCACATAAATCAAATACCGCATTATAAAAAAGTATACATATATTTTTTATAAAATATATTTTCAATTAAATTGTTTCTTACTTGAAGTAGTTAACTAGTATCATTGTTAATTTATATTGAGTGTGGTTCAAATGGTTTTGATTAAATATTTGGAAACACGAATTATATATTGTTTGGAAATTAAAATTTGACTTGAATAAATTTCCATTGTTTATTGCAGAAATTTGAAAGTGTTTCGGAGTCAGTTACCGAGAATCAATGATTTTTACTCTTCCAATCCTCCAGAAGAAATTGAAGAGGTATGCATTGTTTATTCCTTCTGTATTTTTTTTTTATTTACTATAAAAATTGTATTTATGTATGTGTGAATCAAATGAATAGGATGTCCCACTTGCTCTACCACCGTTATGTGCAGTTTGCGGAAGTTCAGGACGTTTTAAATGTGGCAATTGCCACTTATACAGGTACTGTAGCAAAATCCATCAGGTTGCTCATTGGAAGAGTGGACATAAATCACTGTGTAAAACCTTAAATCAGGTATGTGTTGTGCTTTACCTGCATAACTTATTTCACTATTAATAAAATATATGTGAAAATTTATAGGAAAACTCTAATCTAGCAGGGCTGCTTGCAGATACCTCTTTGGATGGCTTTTTGTTAAAGGAATGGTTATTAGATATAGATGCTGAACCTTCAGTAAGAACTTTATTAGATTCTGGCTGTCAATAACGTTATTTACATTATATATATATATATATATATATATATATATATATATATATATATATATATATATATTAGGGTGGTCCTTAAAATGGTCATTTTTGAATTTCCTTGCTCCCAGGGGCCCAAATGGTTCCAAATTGATAAAAAACAATTCTTTGAAAGTTTTAGCTCTTAATATTAATGTTTAGATAGAGCACAATTCAATAAAACTTCATATGGAAAGAGCATGGAAAATTTTTATATATATATATATATATATATATATATATATATATATATATATGATAGTTTTTTCGACGTTGATACATATTTGTAATATTTTTGCAGCCCAACCGTCGAATTAAAAAAAGATTAAATAACAAAATTAGGAGAAATAGAAGGAGCACATATTGCCCTCCTATATTCAATGTTATTGATAGCATTGCATTGTGGACACTGCATTGTGCTCCTTCTATTTCTCATTTGTTAATATAATAGTATTTTATTATTTTACACAAATTTAGTGTTCAATCAATTTTACATCATAATTAATTTTTTCTGTTGTTTTTCCTGGTTTGATTACTGAATGATGACACACATCAAGTGTCGAAACGTTTAATGGAATAAATAATTTTGTTATTTAATCTTTTTTTTAATTCAACGGTTGGGCTGCAAAAATATTACATATATATATATATATATATATATATATATATATATATATATAGTTGAGCGTTTTTGTTTTTGCGAATCACAGGAATTATACAGAATTACTTGTATGTGCAGATCATAGTGTTGTTTTTTATATTTGTATATATACTTTCTTAAAGGTTATGTCAAATTGTGATGAAACAGATGAATTAGAACGTAGAATGTCAGAATTCAAACTTATGGAAAAAATAATGAGATTGGTACTATGGCTGATGTGCCTGATAAAGAACTAGAAAATTTTGCGATGGTTGGCGATAAAATGTTTATGAAGTTCAGTAAGCGAGTGTCTTTATATCCTGAACAGGTAAGAATGATAGAATACATAAATAATAACACACAATAGTGCATTCTATATTAGAGCTCTTGCAACAACGTTTTAAGTTTATTTTAATTTGGGTTTTTCTGCCTTCATATTGAATATAGAATAAACAAAATTTATTACTTTTACAAAAATGTGAATTCCTTTTTAATAATGGGTTTAGGTTATAAGGTTTAACCGTGGTGGTGAACCATTGTGGATATCTGATAAAAATACTATTGAACCTGAAGATGTGCCGCCTTGTCAATATTGTAATGGCCCAAGAGTCTTTGAATTTGAGGTATGTATCAAATTGTTGACTATTGAAAGAACTCTGGATTACATTGACAATCACCTTATATAATTTTGTATTGACTTATTGATGTAATTGTATAAACCAATTATTCTAGATTATGCCTCAGCTATTGAATAACATAAATGTTACCACTACTCGATGTAGCATTGATTGGGGTGTTCTTTGTATATATACTTGCAAAAAAAGCTGTGACATCGGAAGTGCTTACAAAAAGGAATTTATTCATAAACAAGATTTTATTGATAAATAATAACTAGCAAAAGTAATTATAGACAAGATTTATTTTGAATAAATTCATAAAAAAATATTTACAATTTTTCTTTAATATTACTAATAAATTAGTTCTTATGAAATTACACAGTTTAATCAAAAATAAGAGTTAACTTCAATAACCTATTCTATAATGTAAGATCTTTATTCATTCTCATTTGCTTCCTTTTATGATATTCTTCAACATTATTATATTGCTTCTTGAATAAACTAGCAGTAAAACTATGCAAATCTGCACATTTGTTTTGAGTTACTATTTCTTGAACCATAGGACATGCAACATTTTCAACTTTAATGTATAGCATTTTCTCTGGATCAAAACAATATTGAACTAAATAATTGTTTCCTAAGAAGTATAAGTTTTTTTCATACGAAGTGAATTTAGTTGCTTCTGCTGGTAATTTTATTGTTTGTAGAATATTACATTCCATAAAATTTGCAGCTGTAAATGATATGCTGCAAATGTTAACATCGCAAGATTTATACAATAAAGCAATTGCTATAATTTTTTCACCAATCACATTTACTTTCATTGATATTATAGCAGTTGATAATTTAACACAAAGAAGTTGTTGCCCTGTGAGATAATGCCATGCTCTTATAGTAGCATCACCTGATGCGGAAATAATATATCTGGATGTTCAGTCAATATATCTAATGAAGATACAAATTCTTCATGTCCAAGACAATAAGCTACAATATTAAAAGTATCGGGATAAGCAGAAACTCTAATTTTCTCATCTCTATCACATGATATAATGCATCTGAAATTATATATTCCATTATTACAAAAAATTCTATATGTATATTGTATATTATATATTAGTCCATGAGCCTCTGCTTGTTTTTGAAAATCATGCTATCAATCAATATTGAATATGATCAGCCTATACAAAGGAAAGTCTTTATGATACTATTAGGTACCTTATAAAAGTTTCCACTATTAAAATTAGCAAACTTTGTAGATTAAGTTCCTGAACACCAAAGTTATAATAACTTATAATTTTCATATATAATATATAAAAGTGTGATTAAATTACATAACATATTACACTAATATTTAGATGCGAAAGTAAAATATTATAAAAGCGTCTGCTAAAGATATTTATCACAATTGTCAAATAAAGCATTGGCTTATGGTATAATAACTTGCTGCAATTATTACTTATCATCTGGTGTTAATAAGACATCTAGCAACATGCTAAGATGTCCCAAAATTAATTTTGGATGCCATTTATTTTTTTTTTCTGCAAGATACACATCTCCTGTTTTATCTGCTATAACTAACTTATTGCAATTTTCTGAAAATTTCATAGCACTGGCTGCTCTCGACATTGAATATGTTTCAATGCAATCATAAGAATCTGTTTTGAAATAAATGTGCAATACTTTTTGATCAGTCACAATTGCAAAGTATTCACATGTTTTTGAGAATGCTACCATGCAAATGTTTTCTTTGATTTTGGGATTTGACTGGACTATTTTTATATCTGTAGTAGTACTTTCAGCTAAATTGTGAATGAGAATCGTATCATTTACACCAATAAGTAAATTAGTGCGTTTCAATTCCAAAACAGCCATCTTTTATAGAATATCTAATGCACTACGTACTGTTATTCTAACTTATTCAAAGTGCTCATTAGCAACTTCCATTCCAAATGTCACTTATTTTAATAAATAGTTTAAACATAAAATTTACTATATTTAAATTATTTTATACATTATTTAAAAAAAATTAAAACGTAGATATATAAAATTGATAATGCAGTGATGGTATTTCGATGATAAAATAAATGATAGCCTATTTTCAATACACCTAAATAGAAGTCTACGCTAATATAACATAACCCCATACTCTTCTTTTATCTATGCATAACCCTAATTAGAACTTGACCCACGTGCGTCAAATGACAGTTTGATACGCTTCTATGTATATTATATGTATCTATGTATGAAGCTATGAAGCAAATACGCAAATACGCGAAATCTCTTTCATAGATAAGTAAGCTCTCTTTTACCCATGGCCGGTAATCTCGGAACAAACGTCTGTAACCCGAGTTTAGTTAGAGCCCCTGCCGCCGGTCGCGCTTGTTTTTTTTTTTTTATTTTTTTTTCACTTTGAAATCGAATTTGACATATGACAGATACTTAAATTAAACATGGCGTCCATTGTAATAAATTTTTCATGGAGAGATAACCTAGACAATATAATAAATGCTTGTTAGAGTAAAAAACAAATAAGCTGTCGAAGTGCATTGTTTAACGAAGAAGAAATACCAAGAAAAAATGCATGTATTATGTAGTTCCAGCGAGAAACGACGAAGTAAAAGTAAAATAAGTAATAATATTTGCCGGCTTTCAATCTAAGTGAGTACTTTTATTAATATGCATACTTCGAATTACTTTCATTTGATTGTACTATTCTGATATGATTTTTCATTACAGTTTAATAATTCAGAAATAATTGAGACATTTAACTATATCAATACTAGAAATTTTAAGGTTATAAATAGACAGAGAGAATTCCTGTCAGCTCTCTGAAAGGTATGTTATTAAATAACTAAATATAATTAATCTTGTTCTAATAATGTAGGATCATAACTAATAATTCTACATCGATTTTTTCAGCAGTATAAAAGGAAAATACGTTCAAATGTAAAATGTTTAGACGGTTTACTAAACACATTCACAAGTGTACAAGTATTGATATGAGATGAATGAATACACAGGAAAAAACAATAAGAATGAAGTCTGAAATGTGCTGAAATCTTTGCTGATCTCCCACTAATATTGAACAGTACGACTCGTAATTATATATTAAGTCAGTTTGGAGAACATACTAAAAACACTAATGATATAATCGTAAGTGAAAGGAAATTCTCAATAATGGTGAAATTCTAGCTAGTGCAAAGGTTAATTTAGGTTTGGCTATGTCACAGGAAAAGTTTTTAAGTATTAATAATTTCATTTTGATATTACAAGAAATATTATTATCTGTGTTGTTTAATGATGATAAAGGGAATCACATTGTATAGATTTTCAGGAACTGTCAAATGACAGGCAAAGTATAATCATGATTAATGATAAAATTCTAAAAAGCAAAGGGATAAAACACCCTTAATGTGCACTTGCTTATTGCATTTGACTATTCTGAAAGAGATGTCAATAGCTTTACTCTAAAATGTCTTATTGTAGATGCTATAAGAAAACTATTAAGTACTGTTATAATAATATCAATGATTGTTGTTTTTCTTTAAGACAATGATAATAATGACATTTTGAACAAACATTTGAATGCACATTAACAATAGCGCAGAAAGATTCCCAAATAGAGACTGTACATCATAGATATTATGTAACTTAATGTTAATCAAAATAAATATATATGTAAATATATATATATAATATATATATATATATATATATTGGTTATATATTGATCTGAATCAATATCAATCAAAGAATTGTGGTTATATATGTATATGTATATATATAAATAATATACATTCATGTACATTTCTATTCTTTTTGTGCTCAGCTTGAAAGGCTGATATGCTAAAATGATATTACACACACACATATATATATATATATATGTATATATATATATATGTATATATATATATATATATATATATATTTGTATATATATATATACATTGTGGATAGCGTGTACATTTAAGTACATTTTTATGCTTTTCGCACATAGTTTTTACAGCTTACTACCATCTATTATAATCATATATAATGTTATATATATATATATATATATATATATATACATTGTGGATAATGTGTATATTTATGTACATTTTTATGCTATGTGTGCTTTGTTTATAAAGAGAACTATGTAGATATAATGTAGAATGTTTTTGTGAAAAATAAATGCTTCAAAATTTTTTTTTTTTTCAATTTTTCTTTTTTTAAATTTTGAATTAAAACGGTCCATATAATTTTGGTTCATTTCTATAGTATTTTTTATACGCACCCGTTCAGGCGACTAGTGCCATCTGTAGCGCGGGGCTTCAACTAACACAGGAATGTGGCAACGAAATATGGCCCGAGAGAGCGATCTATATACTCTTCTTTTATCTATGCTTTTACCCACTTTTACCTATACTTTGAAGCATCGGTTGCATCGGTTCAAAAAACGTCAACCTAAAGTTTTTTGTCTACACTTTACCATTTTAAAATCTCTATGGGAAAACAAGTGTGACAATAAAATAAAATAAACCCCAAACTTCAAAAATGTTGATCATTTAGCAGTAAAAATAATGTTGAGCATTGTTCGTGCGAGAACTAAATAATCTTAGATAATTAAAACATTGAGGAAGTAACATGATTTGTTAATTGAATTGTATTTATATAAGCTAAAATAGCAGTGATATCTTATTGTTGTTTAAAATGCCAGTAAATATATAACATTTCAGCAGAAGTTTTTCACGAAACGTCAAGATGTTATTACTCAATTCGTACAAAAATTTATTAGCAAACATTCATAAGTTGCAATATTCTTCATTTACTGCGAAAGTACTTATCGATTCTTATAGGATACCTTTGCCGTTACAATGTAATCATTTTTGCCCTGGCAAAGTCAATAACTCGTTTCGAAATCTTAATAACCGATTATTTCTTAGTAATCAGTGGCGTCATTTGTGCAATGAGGTAAAGGCTGTAAATAAGTTAGTTATAACTTCTCCATATTTACGTCATACGCGGAATTTTCATATGAGCAGTCAAAGATATAAAAATGAAGGGCAGAAAGATTCCAATAAACAAGACGACGAAAAGAATAAAATGAAGTCAGTTCTAGCAAAGGCTTTTCTATGGATGCTCACAGGGTATATGGTAATAGCAATTCTGTCTACCATATTTCCCAACAAACAACGTGATCAACTTGTTCGATACATATCTTGGAATGAGTTTTATCATCATATGCTATCCAGAGGTGAAGTTGAACAAATTATTGTTCGACCTGATTTAGATGTTGTTACAATAATACTTCATGAAGGCGCCGTCATAAAAGGAAGGCGTTTAGAAACTAGAACATTTCACATGAGTGTAATTGATCCTCAGAAATTCGAAGACAAGCTCAGAAATGCAGAGGCTTCGTTAGGAATAAAAGAAGGTATACCAATCACTTATGAAAGAAATGCTGATTTGCCTGGTAAATTGTTCATAACAATATTAATTGGTGCTGTTATATTATCTCTTTTATCCAGAGGTAAGACTTTTAAACCTCCTACGATGGACACCTTCACTCAAATGGGGAGAGCCAAATTCACTTTAGTAGATCCTGTTAATACAACTGGAAAAGGTGTGTTATTTAAAGATGTAGCAGGATTGCAAGAAGCAAAGCAGGAAGTTATGGAATTTGTAGATTACTTGAAAAATCCTGAACGATACAAAACATTAGGAGCTAAGGTGCCAAAAGGTGCACTGCTTCTTGGACCTCCTGGATGTGGTAAAACTATGCTTGCTAAAGCAGTAGCAACTGAAGCGCAGGTACCGTTTCTCTCTATGAATGGTTCAGAATTTATAGAAATGATTGGTGGTCTAGGGGCTGCCAGAGTACGAGACTTGTTCAAAGAAGCTGCTAAAAGAGCTCCATGTATTATATATATTGATGAAATTGATGCAATAGGCCGCCAAAGGGGAGGCGATATGCCAAGCGGAGGCACTGGCGGCCCAGGATCAGGAGAGTCTGAACAAACCTTGAATCAATTGTTAGTTGAAATGGATGGCATGGCTAGTACTGAAGGTGTGCTAATGTTGGCTTCGACAAATAGAGCTGATGTTTTAGATAAAGCACTTCTGCGTCCTGGTCGATTTGATAGACATATTGTGATAGATCTTCCAAATTTAGCTGAACGTAAAGAAATTTTTGTACGCCACCTCTCACCAATAACATTAGAGAAAACTCCAGAATTTTATGCTCCGCGCTTAGCTCCATTAACACCAGGGTTTTCAGGTGCAGATATTGCTAATGTTTGCAATGAAGCTGCATTACATGCTGCTAAAAATAAAGAACACAAGTTACAGCACAAGATTTAGAGTATGCAGTTGAAAGAGTTGTAGGTGGTACTGAAAAGAGAACACATGCCATGTCTCCTGGTGAGAGAAAAACAGTTGCGTATCATGAAGCAGGACATGCATTAGTAGGATGGCTGCTAAAACATACTGATGCACTGTTAAAAATTACTATAGTACCTCGTACCAACCTAGCCTTAGGATTTGCAATGTATACACCTACTGATCAAAAGTTATTTTCAAAAGAAGAATTATTTGAAAGAATGTGCATGGCTTTAGGAGGACGAGTTGCAGAGTCATTAACATTTAACAAAATCACTACTGGTGCTCAGAATGACTTAGAAAAAGTAACAAAAATGGCTTATGCACAAGTCCAACAGTATGGAATGTCTGAAGCTGTAGGTTTGGTTAGTTTCCCAGAAAAGGATGATGGGGCTATGTTTCAAGGTAAAAAGCCATATAGTAAAACATTAGCGACTTTGATCGATTGTGAAGTTAACAATTTAGTTACCAAAGCATATCTTAAAACAGAAGAAGTGCTCAAGGCGAATAAAGATAAATTAGAATTACTTGCTGAAACACTATTAAAACAAGAAACTTTAAATTACGCAGATGTAGAGAAATTAATTGGGCCACCACCATATGGTCCTAAGAAACTTATAACGCCTGATGAATTCGATGATGTCACACCACTAAATAAGAAAGAAAACACTGATGAAAAAGAATCTAAAGTGTAAACATAATGTATATTTTCCTAAAGTAATTATGAATGCCTATCAGAGTTGTTTTGTGTATTAAAATAATAATATATTTATTTAAGTTTTATACATTGCTAATATTATTTCATTGTTTTTCACAGCCTACCATGATTGTTAGGCAGATTATTGCATAAACTAATATTTAACACAAATACAATTAAAATTATGAAGATATATCAAGCTTTGAAATATGAGTATAGAGGAATGCAAGAAATAAGAACTACATATTTCAATTCAAGTGTGAATATAAATTACATAACTATAAATAAAACTACATAATAATAAATTACACTTATGTTTTTAAAGTCTCATTTTTATTGTCTCTTCACATAGATACTCAACTTGGTTTGTGTATAAATCTGCCATTGTTTACAATTAAGAAAACGAGCTAAATACTATGTGAAATAGAGTTATGCATTTCAATATGCCTACGAATCTCAAATTGTATGCCCGAAATTGAGACAATAAAAATATCAAGGTAAGGGTCCTTAATAAATATCAAAGTAATTATTTTGCTTTACGATTCCACTAGGCAATCAGATGACCAGACAATTCATGAATAAACAAATGTCAATAAAATAATGATTTAAAGAATTTTACTCATAAATGTTAGATTGTAAAAATTTTGGTCGACCAGGTGATCAAATCAATATTTTTTGCAGTGTTGACCAAAGCAAAAAGGAAAATTTGAGAATAAAATCAATTTTATAATTCTTTTTTAAAAGAAAAAAAAACAATTCTTTGATTATCTTATTATTATATTATTTATATGGAAATAATGCTCTAAACTTTTAATCCGATACAACTCCGCGCGGATTCATTCAGCGGGAGAAGTTATATCCTGGAACTTACTCTAGAGCTACCCCACTCTAATATGAAACAAAGTTTAGGTAGCAGATTCTTCTTCATCAATTTTATTGGATATTATGATCTTTTCTAAGTTTTCTATTGCTTTATTCAATTTACTTTGATTTTTCTCAATATCACAAAGTTTTTCCAATATTCTTATTTCTAGATCAGCAAATTTGTTATCCATATACTCTTTCATAGACCTTAATAAAAGTGTTGCTGTGTTCATTGTGAGCAACTGACCTTCCATACAATGTGAACTATTAATGGATTCAGGCATTTTAATATGAGCGTTTTTATCCGAGCGTGCCTCCAGATTCTGATCGAGACCATCTGATTTATTATTTACCTTGGCGGTTAGTCGGAGTCCATAAATCCATAAACTTTGAGGTGTTGCAATATTAATGAACTAAAATTATAAATTATATAGCAAAAATAAGCATTTATTTTATTATGCAATTTAAGAAAAAATCATAAGAGGTTACATGAAAATTTGATTTGTTGATCACCTTTAGCATACATTGCAGAATTGGTTCTTTAAAATTTACTTTAACTTCATAAATAAGAGTATCTTCAAATTCATCATATAATTCTGCTTTGAATGTATCATAATATTCATACAATGGTCCAGTATAAATTTCTACATATTTTGAACCAGATACAAGATGTAAAGAATAAAACTTCTGAGATGGTGATATTGAATTTAGAGTCAAAGTACATGTTTCATTTGTATTTTGCTCAAGTTGAATACAGGATTCCATACAAACTGTTGAATCTACTGAAACACTAAATTTATTTTTGATATGAGAAAAGTGTATTTTAAAATATTATTATATATTCTTACTCTTCAACTAGCTCACAATCGCCATATGTTTTTACAGATATTGTATCATAAATAGTTTTGTCATTCGAAACAGCCCAATTTGATACCACTCTTATCTTTAGATTATCCTGATTTTTTATATTTGCGCTAGCCATTTCAATACACCAGATAAATACTAAATTTCAATGAATTTTAAATCTGAAGTGTTAATATTATTATTTAGCATTTATATATTATTATATATTATATATTATTACATAAACGATTGAATTTCTATTGAAAGGCAAATCCATGAATAAAATCAAAATAACTTTATTTACTATAATACGCAATAACCTTAAATCAAAGGACCCAATATACTATAATAATGGACCCAATAGACCTAATCTATAATAATGGACCTATTGGACCTAATGACCTAATCAATTGTATAGGGAACAAATACAAATCAAATGTCAAAGTGACAAGCAAAGTGAGCAAAGTCAGCAACATAGATAAATAAGTATAAATAGATGGCAAACACGGCCGCTTTAATATTACATCAATTGTAATTCTTTGAGCATTCAATAGATGCCGCTACCAACCGCAGCACGTAAATTTACCATTTAGTTTAATTCTAGATAAGATTTATTTGAAAATATAATATAGAAAAGATAAACCTGATTAATTCGATTAAATGAAATGAAAATATTATATATGCCCACAAAATATACTTCAACAAACTTTTTTTTTTCATTCAAAAACTATATATTTCAATAAATAAAATTGGTATAAATTATTAAAAAAGATATATTTTTAACTTCCCGTTGGGTAAGTTATAGTAATCGCAAAAAAATCGAAAATGAAAATTTTTATTTCAGAGGTTTCTGAATATTTTGGCATACCTTAGAAAAGGGATGTATGTGTGTGTGTGCGTGTGTCTATGTGTGTGCGAACACAAATTTTTGTCGATGATTTCGGTAACACCGATGAAGCGATTTGAATAATTCAAAAAACATTCGATTCGTATTGATGAGGAGACGTGCTGATTAGTTTTTGGCGAAGGCAGGTCTAGCCGTTCCGAAGATATAGGGCGAAAACTGCTAAAAACCGTAACTCAGTTTTTAAGAGAACGGAGCGTCCCAAGGTGAAGAACTGATCAAATTTTCATGAAGGCAGGGTTAGTGGTTTCGGAGATCTAGTAAAAAAAAATGCCATCTGGCGGTCAAAAATGATCATTAGACATATGCACATCAAATTATCAGATATTTTATAGAGATTTTAACAATAAGTATAAATTTTGTTTACATTCCTATGGGTTCCGTACCAATGCTTATCTGTTAGACGGCAGCGCGGCGCTTACCCGCTTCGATATTTGTCTCTACGCAGTTAAAGCAGTACGATTGCTTTGAAAAAAAGTTCAGAATTTTCAAAATACATTTTTCATACTTTTTTCTTTTTTTTTGTTTGATAATGAGAGGGGGTTTATTTTTAGAATCACGTACTCTGCCGCACATGGTCGAAGCGACACGAAAATTTCAATGGTTTGCGATCTCGGCGCTCGCTCCCGCCGCGAGCAACCCGACGCATCGGGCTGCCGAGAATACCCTAACCGACACTAATGGATTAGCGTCAAAGCGCGGATAAAAAATGTAAATAAGTAAGCAGTCATTAAAATTGATGTACTAATTATAATTTTATCTATTAGTATAGGAAATACATCGGTAATTAAGTTATAGAGATACTGAATATATGTATATCCAACTAAAATATATTTTGGTAGACTTTATTTATCATATTTCAGAGTTAATTTTATATCATCATGATATTATCATGTATATATTTATATATATATATCATGTATATTATATATATATATATATATATATATATCATGATATTATCATGTATATATATTTATATATATATATTCGTGGCGGCGCTAGACCATTCGTCGGCATCGGCGAAATTCGTTTGCGAGGACCCTTTTTAGGGCAATTACTAAAACTTTCCGTGCCGTAATTTAAATGTTAAAAAAAATTTGAAAACCTTGAAAAAAAAATTAACTTTTTTTCTAAATTTCTAAATGAAAATTTTTTGACCAAATTATTTGCACCGTACCTAATTATTTGTTATATATATTCCATTTCTAACTCTCGATGTGGTGCTGTACTGATGATAAGTTATATATTTTTTACACTCGTAACGCACGCTGTCAAGAACTGCCTGCACAGTTGATAATTACCCTTTCGACTCGGATGCCGCCGCTCCGGCGGCATAGTCATTTTACCGTTGTGCTCGGATGCCGCCGGTCCGGCGGCATGATATGTTTTATCGTTAAGCTCGGATGCCGCCGCTCCGGCGGCAAATCGTTCGGGCGACGACTCGTCGCAAACTAACTTACATTTAATTTTTTTTTATTTTTAAAAATTATTTGCTATTACATTCATTTATTGATTGATTTATTAATTTTATAAATAAGTATATAACAAAATGAATTTTTAGCTCATGATCCCCATAACTCTAATAAAGATCTGTGAAGAAATAATTTTTTAAACAATATAGCATGGTTTTGAGTGCAATTTTTTTTAATTTTCAAAATTTTCTATTTTATTATCAAATAACTATATTTAAAAGCAATATAACCACATTTTGAAAAATCCGATACAAAAAAAATCCGAGTTGAGAGATAAGTGTAGCACTATAATATTCCGAGCGCCGTACCGACTGGCAGTCCGACTCCCCGAGTCGAAAGTGTTAAATCCCTTTTATTGCTTCTATCGTACGGGAGGCCCTTGTGGCGGGTATCCGCATCGCCGCCCCGGTTGCTTGTTCAGCGACATTTCTGTCGACCTTTAGGGCTTGCGGTGGGTGAGGCATACATTTTTTTTTTGTTTTTTGGGGGTATACGAAACAACGATACGGATCTGACTAACATTTTCCTAGCTACCAACATTCCTACTTGAAAGACTTTCCTACTAAATATTCCTATGAAATACTCCAAAATTCTTTTAAACCAAAAATTTTTTTTCCAAAATTTTTTTAACAAAATTTTTTCGAACAAAATTTTTTGACCAAA